TATTTCCAAGGATAAAGTCGTCACGCGTTGATGGAAAACAAAGTATTTTTGGAATTACATATCGTTTTCCATTTAACCAGATTGCTAGTTTTTTAGCTTTAAATATGATTAATGTTTCATTGCCATCTATACCTTTAGCTAACGTAGGGCGTTTCATACTCATCCATTTTTCTAGTGGTAGTGCATTCCATTCCATCTATATACACTTGTAGTGGCGTCAGTATTAATTAATACACTAAGGCTATATGACTTATAACTTGTATAATTAAATTCTCCTAAAACATAAGTATATTTTTTCTTTATGTTGCTTGATGAAAAGATAATATCTTGTGATCCATATGAAGATGATAAAATCTTGTTGAATTTATCTCTTTTTTTTTTTTTGTCTTTCAGGTATGTAGTTCTTGGGGGTATAGAAATTTGTACGGATTTATAAGTAATAGAGTCAGAGTTTGATGTTTCTTCAAACTCTTTTTTATAAGGTTCATTAAGAGCAAGTTTTGAGAATTTTTTCCAATTATCTTTATAAACCCAATTTAGGCATGTTTTTATTAATTTTTTACTTTGAGATCGTTTATCTCTAAAATACATATTTTTATCTAAAACTTGCATTTCAATCGGATTTGTTATCCTTATTGATGGTTCTTCAGTTAAATTATTTATCATCCATTGTCTTATAATTTCTAAATCTTTTCAATTAATTGATCGAGATTTTATTGCCGTGTCAAAGGCTCTTGGTTCAAAAATTTCTACAATTTCTCTGTTTAGATGTTTTGTAGAAGTTTGTGGTAACTTTGTTAATTCATGGAGGGTTTTCCAATGGATTGCCATATCATAAGAATTATTTTTTATTTCTATGTTTTGGATAAGAATTTTAATTTTTACTGAATCTTTGAGATTCGGATCATCAATCAAAATAAAATAGTTAGATTTAATATTAAACCAAACTACTCTTGAGATCAAATTCGATTGAATTCTGCCTATTATTGCTTTCAATGGATTGTTAAAGTGTTTGTCTAACACTACAACCAAGATAGGTGTGTCTATTCCTTGTCTAAATAGACCGGTAGTAGTTATTTGTATCATCCCTATATGAATATATCTTATATTTGAAAATTGTTTTTTACATCTAGCAATGTTCTTTTTATCAAGGAGTGCTAATTCTGCGGTGCCTTCTGCAGAACATTTAGCGACTGTGTTTCCACTAAATTGTTCAAATACTCTAGCTGAGAATGGGTTGAACCAAGAAATTTTATATATTTCATCTTTTTTTTATTTTTCTCAATTTTTCCAATTGTTCTTTAGGAAAGATGACTTCATCACCAACTACATCTCCTACCCTGATCGAATTTCTTTTTTCTTCAGGTATTTCTGATGTATGGTACTCTTGTAGCATAAAGATTTGGTCTAAATCTTAATCACTACTTTCTTCTTCACTTTCTATCTCATATAAGATATCTTCTATATCAGAGATTTCTTCTCCATACAGAACTTTTAATTCTCGTTCCTCAAGCATTGTAATCATTTTCTTAGCACTTTGTCCTTTTTTGGGGCAATTGAGTGCTATATGGCCTTCCTCGTTGCAAATATAACATTTGCAACCTTTTTTATTAGAGTTAGAATTTTTTCCAGTTTTCTTTTTCCTAACATATTTCTTATGTTTAGATTTTTTTGTCCCTTTTCTTCCTTGGTTTTCACTTAAATTTCTTTTTATTGTGCAATTTCTTTTGTCTAGGTGGTTGGCATTCAACCTTCCAATTTTCTAAAATTTTGTTACAGCATTTTTGGCCATAAGCAATGTTGCTTATTTGGTTTTCTACCTGATTTTTGGCTTTAACCGAGATATAGTGATCAACAATAATTCTAAGAATAAAGCTGCTTCTAAATCCCAAAGTATCTGATTTTTCTATTGAACATAGGAATTTTGGTTACTTTTTTACACATAATTCATCCATGAATTTGGGAGTTTATTAAAAAATTGGTTTAACCAAAAATTATTATCTGATGGGTTTAGCTGATAATAATATTTTTGAAATAACTTCGCATACTCTTTGAAATCACATATATGACATAACTCTAGTTTTGAGAGTATGTATTGTGCGTCTTCTTGTAGAATTTTTCCACCAACTTTGCCGCATATATTTTCTTTGATAATTTTGGTGAATCCTTTCAATACATCTGTAAAGCTAGATTGAATACCTAGCAATTCAGTTTTTTATTTTTTCCTTTTGTAGTTTTTTCCCACTGTTTTAGCCATTGCAACACATTGCCTTGAAGTGTCGCTGCTAAATAGTTTAAGAATTTTTCTTTAATCCATTGACTTTTATAATTTGTGATGAGAATGGACAGGGATTGTGCCCAATCATCAATAGTTCTATGATAATCTTTGAATGAATATTTCTTATATCTAAGTAAGTCCCGTTTTGGGCAACACTTATTTTGTTATTATCATCTCTTTTCATAATGAAGATTGGAGATCGGTCAACAACTGAGCTAGTTGTGGTATCACTCGAAGAAGGTTTTTCTTTAGTGGCTTTTATGTATTCTTCTAAATTTTGATACATGTCTTCCTCGGTGTTTCCGAATTCATCTAATTTTCTTTTCCCCCGATTTGGCATTTTTGCACCTCATCTTCCATTTCTATATTTGAATCATTTTTTTCAGATTCACTATCGGTATCGTGACTCACCACGCTAGTTGCGCAGATTTCACTGGGAAGTTCATCTACATCACTATCATCAATCATATTGACCTCATAGCTAAAATGGGTCAATATATCTTCATGAGCAAGATACGTATCTCGTATTTGCTGCAGGATTTTATTATGCTCATCAATTCCTAAATCTGGATCCTTATAGATTGTTCGCCAATAATACATTATTTCTAAATCGAGTCAGTCGGCGTTTGAATGAGAGGAAGCGAACAGTATATTGTGAATTTGGATTGCGTATCTGAGTCTCAGTTTCATAGGGGTATTTATACCTCAGCATCCAATGATGCCTCTTCTACTTGGAATCTCATCGGAGCATTTAGTAGCCTGGGTTCACCATCTAGCATATTGAGTGCTCCCCCATCACTTCTCATTAATGTTGAGCACTTAGATGCCTAGACTTGCCCTCGGGAACGTACCGAGCATTAAAGGCTCACTCCCCGACCATCGAGTGTTCTAGGAAAATACTCAGACCCTACGGCTGAGCCATAATGAATGGCTGCTAGGTCCCGTCAGGAGGTCCTGAGAGCTTCTCCCCAGTCTAGCTGCCATTAATTTAAGGCAATGATAACTGTCTTCCACGTTTTCCAAGGATTGGATAGTCATTAATGGCCTATCATTCCGTTGACCCTCATTAATGTCTCGTCTTATTGTATTTAATACCTAGCAGCAGGAATAGTGCTCGGTCCCGAGTGTTCCACTCAAAAGTGCATGACCAGTCAGTTGATTTACACGCGCCTCAACAGCTGTCTCCGGCCACGTGTCGACTTATTATTGGCAAGCCACATAACGTCCTGTTACAAGTGGCCCTGACAGCAAAATAATCTATAAAGTAGTGGCCCTTCATAGGACAAGAAGTTTCCTCTGCTAAGAATCCTAAATAGTTAAGACTTAGGATATCACCATCTTGCGCCCTCATTCAATAATTTCCAAAAGATCTGATTATCCTGTAGTTCCATTCTTGATATATCTATAATATAAATGCTACATAACTATTGACCTTGAATTCTCAATCTGGTCACCAATCTAAGATACAATTAGCAGCTGCCAGAATAATACTCCGACTTCTGTTTCTTGCCTAAATAAAGTTTCAAAACCATACCCTTTCCAACCCCATTTTGGAAGCCTTATAATCACATTTGTTTGTCAACTTTTACCCGCAAGAACCAGCCATTAAAGATTATTTGTTAACAATGTCCTACATTTTCCAGTGCATATTATTGTCTGGAGAACATGTGTCAAATTTGGTTAAAACACAAAGCCATCCCGGGCACTTGGCCTGTACAAACTACGAGTAATTGCTTTGATGAGCCATGAGGTTGCGGTAAGATGTTTTAGGGTAGTAAAATTTGGTTTGACTAATGATTTCACATTTTCTGTTATAATAGACAAATGAAATGCTTAGGTCAATACTGGCATTTCAGTTGCATCATATCATGTTGCAATTGTTTGCATCATGTGTGTTAATTGGCCACATGACTTGTGTCTTTGGCGTTACTGCATTTGCAATTGTAATTTCTGTGGGGCAAATCTTTTCAGAGTCCATGTGTATTGGACTTACAGTTTATAGAAATGAGTTACAGTTCACACGTGTTGAAGTAGTTTGGATTTTTATAGCTAGCATGTGCTCTCCTTTATATTCTTAATAACATCACGGTGATGATTTTTTTTTCACACAATTTTCATGTAGCTTGTTTTAGGAAATAATGGTGTTAATGCTAATTCCTTATCTGATATTAAGTAAACTCCCCTACTCTGACATGTATTATAATGATCTAACAAAGGTTAGACCTGTTTTGTGGACAGGCTCACTACATGCTAGGGCTTGCATTGCTGCAGAGGCAAGAATATGCTGAAGGAGTCAAGGAATTGAAAAAAGTGTGGAGTATTTTTTTCCCCTGGCTTGTTTTAGGCAGTTTTTTGTCAGTTTATGCAAATGATGCGCTTTCATTCATATAAGCAGACATATGTTATAGATGCACTATATATCTATGTAAGGTATTTTTATTTTAGCATTATCATTGAGTTTAAGAATGGAGCTATTGAACTTTGGAGCAATTAAAATATCATAACTTAAAAAGATTCTAAAATCTGAAGTAATACTATTGTGGAAGAGTTGCGTATATTTAGCATCATGCACTTCCTTTTTATTTAACATTGCGCATCTAGCCATTATTTTTCTTGACCAATATTACTTTCTATCTCTGTTCATCAACACACATCGTCAATGCTTAGAAGGCAGTTTGCATGGACACGATAAAATAGTGGTGGCCCAGGAAAATTTGTATTGTGGTGGGCTTGAGTAAAGTGAAATGCTGTGGATTTGTGGTTTTAGGATGTGGAAGTGTGTTGGAATTTGGTTGCTTTTAAATATGATAGTTGCAGAATTTCTGACAATTGTAATATTTGGTATTGTGATTGTACTTTGAATTAAAATTGTTTACGTGATATTTGGCATCTGAGAAAACTTCAGTCCATTGATTTAATTCAAAGTTACACAAACCAATACAAAATAAACTACATTATTATGGGGGAGAAAGTGGAACATAGCAATTGGAGTTCACTGAATGTATTACTATTTTGGTGTAAATAGTGTCCCTTTTTGGTTAATAGCGCAAATCTCATCCTTGTGCAATTGTAATAAGCTTTTGTCCTAGCCTGCACCCTTTCATTGTTCTCCTTCATAATTCTTACTTTGCTTTATTCTATTGCGGCCTTCCTCGTCTTAGTGCTGTATGATTGTTTGTTAAATTTCTCAATCAAATCAAGCAATGAGAGCTCGGAGTCATGGTTCTTTTGTGGTTTTCATTATGCTAGGCCTTTTGTTTTTGGGGAGTCAATGTTATATCCAATCAAAATTGAGAGAAATAGGTGTCAAAAACCTAGGACTAGGAGTATTAGGAGGATTGTGGGGTGATGCTGGCAGCCAGGACTCTTGGGCTTATTGGGGAGTCTTACATTTTGTTACAGTGGTAATTTTTATTCTTAAAAAACATCCATTTATAAATTTAATTGAATGTTGCATAAAACGAAGCACCTAATGTGGAATTTTTTGTGGGGGAAAATAGTAAATTTGAAGAAAGTCAATGGTCAAACATTTGTCATGAAGAATGGCACTCCATCGGAGATAAAAGCATTTGTGTCAAATTTGGTATTGGTGTACCATATGAACTTGTTCTCGAGGTGCTTAATTTCTGAATGAGGGTTCATTCATCTTTGTCACTGATGTAGGACAGTTTTGGGTAAGTCGGAATTTTGCCGTGTAGAAATTGCCAAAATACTCTTAATGCCTATAACTGAGTATAACTTAAATAATCTGACAGCGACATGTTAATTTAATATTAGCATACAATAGGAGACAAATATAAACCTTAACTTGGTTGTTCAAAGTACTGATCTTGCTTTGTGTAGAATCCCTGATTTGCCCTCTTTTTCTCCACATTTTTCATCAGATGTGGAGGATAGAGTTGGACTCAATTAGAGATGAAGGCACTTGATAAATCTGGAATTTTGTAACTGCAAATTTCGAGTTTGTAGTTCTCATTACTTTTCAAAGCCATCCGGAGGGGGAATGTGATGATTTGGCGGTTGATAGCTGGTCTTCAGAATGTTATAAAAAAGATTGTGTCGCTTGCATGTGGCTGGGTATTTTGACTAATGACCCATATAGTTAACTGTAGCTTATATTGGAGGAGGATGTAGTCGGGATGTTCCAAGGTTAGGTAGTGTAGTGCTTTAGGCGACCTCTGTTGATGATCTCATGATTATGTCGCTGCAACCAGTGAATTGAAGTTTAATTACTAGAGCATCCATTCTGAGATGTGCGTGCATGTGTTAATTAAACTTTTCCAAATAAAAAAGGTGGTTTTGGACTTTGTAAGAAATGCATTACATGAACAACCATTATGTGAGTGTAGTTTCACTCTAGTGGGTTTTTAATAGAAAAGGAGATGAATTGGGACAGAATTTGAAGGTACAAAAATTTAAAGTTAGTAGTCCACTTGCTACCATTACATTGCAAAGCCTATTGTCACTACAGATTGATTCCAAATAAGAAGGCTATTTTGAGCACAATATTCTGTTCACTTGATAACAGTATTTTGAACATATTGGAAGTGAAATTTGGTTCTGAATAGATCTGGATGATATACTTTTGAATCATTACCACTAGCTGAAGTCTGATTCAACCTAAAATTTAGGCATTGGATCTTGGGAGATGTGCCAAACCTCAAAGTTATATGGTAGAGGAGATATGGCAGGAGCTTGCAAAAGCAAAGTACCTGGAGTGGGAGTGTGAGTCTAGCACGCGCTCTTGGGAATTGCAAAAGTTGAAGTATGTGCTATTTCCTTATTGAGTTTGGGCTTTTGATGCCAGGCAGAACTTGAATCCTTGTGAAGCCTTTGAATTTTATTTTTCTTTAGCGCTTTTGTTGTGCCATTGGATTCTACATTTCTTTTAACAAAAACTGAAATCTGTGGGCCTCAGAGAAATTTGTGAGATTGCTCTGAAAGAGAAACATGTGCTTGATATATCACATATGGAAGGGTTTTTAGAGGAGGCTACCAAGTCCAATTCAGAACAATTGGAGGCTCTGGGACGTGTATTCAATAAGGCTGCAGATGCTGACATACCAGCTGGGGTGAGTTTTTCTTTCCTGTTGAATTAGGCACATTGTGTTTTCTCGGCATACTGATCGAGGATAACAGGTACCTGACTATCTATGTTGTAAAATTTCACTTGATATTTTACGCGACCCTGTCATTACTCCAAGTGGGATTACATATGAGAGAGCAGCGATTGTTCACCATCTGAAAAAGGTAAATCTTGATTTGCTTTGCATAATTGAGTATTGTCACTATGTTCCTTTATAGTTGCTGATCCTCTACTAAATGGCAACTTAGGTGGGAAAGTTTGACCCAGTCACGCGTGAACCACTTGATTTGTCTCAACTGATACCAAATTTGGCTGTAAAAGAGGCAGTACAAGCGTTTTTGGAAAAACATGGCTGGGCATACAAGATGGATTGTTAATTTGTTTATTATCGGGAGCTTAGGAAGAGTTGATGTTGGTGTGTAACATGTCATGGATAAAAGAGGCTGGCCAATTACTGTTTCTGTGGGTTGCAACACAAATTGGCATTTTGGTGCATCATTGATCATGTCTGGTATGTAATTATGTTGTTCCCCAACGGTGTTCTGCAATGCCTTTTATCAGGTTTGAGGTCCATCGGTCTTTCCCGAACTGTAAAGTGTTATAGTTTATAACTTATTTGTGCTTTGTACAGTTTCATAGTGAAGCTTGCTGAGGGATGTGTAGTGCATGATGGGAGTATAGACAAGTAGTACCCTTCAACTATCCTTATTATTATTTCGTATCCTATTGCTTCCTTAGCTCATTTATTTGGATATCGTTTCATTTGATCCTGACTGAGCTTAGAGATGATTAAGGTATGACGAAAGTGTCTTTAGGCAGGTGTTCCTGTCTATATGGTTAAAGCGACGTGAAATGCAACTGTCTTGTGTATTATAAAGAGCTGTGTGAGAGGATTTGACTATAACACAGACAAAAAAATTTTGGTACCGTATTTTCAAAATTTATTATTTCAATAGTTGTTTTTATAATTTTTGTGAATTATTTTACAACTAAAAAAATTATCATTTTTGTAGATGATTTATCATTATTATAGGTGTTTTTAGTATTATTGGGATAATTATTTTTACCACTTTTCTTTGATGTAAAAAAATTATTATTTTTGTGGGTGATTAACTATATTTATGAGTGTTTTTATCATTATTGTAGATATTTTTATCACTGTACAACAATGTGGGTTTTTTTATTTTGATTTGCTTTCCCGCCATGAGTGAATGTGAATAAATAAGAGGCTTCTGGGATTGATGGGAGGGGGTAGGGATGGTTATATTTTTTAGAGCGAACTCCGGACAAATATGAAGAACATGTATACAAGATAGGCCTTAGAATAAAAGACAATTTTAAATTCACTTTGTCTACAAACAAGGAAGTAAGTTATATAAGTAATGCAATTATGAATTTCATAAAAACATCCATGGAGTGGTAAAAGTATTCATAAATGCGATAAATAGAGGTATAACACCGATTTCTTTTTTTTTTTTTTTTTTGGGTACCATACACAACTTCCTTTGTAAGGTGTGAAAAAAGAGATTTCTATCTTTAAATTTATCTCCAAGTTTGTGTTTCGATTGATTATATTTGATTTATATATATTTTTTTGTTGGGCTCGTTTTTTGAGATGTGATTATAGATTTGTAGGCTGATAGATCAATATGAGTTTGGATAAATGCTCAAGGATAATTGTCATATTTCCAAGAGTATGAGGGCTATGGTTTGGTGAGTAGTCCAGTTATGTAACATTTTGAATTTGATTCATGACTCGATGATTTAATCTATTTATTGGCCCCCAAAATTAACCTACATTTATCATGTCAATTGTAGGTTGATCTTAGAATTAAAGTTGTAACAACTTTCAATGACAAATTCTTGGTGTATTTTTTTTGGGTGAATTGAAATTGAATGATCGTAATAAATTAATTTTATCAAGAGTTTTATTTATTATTTATTGAGATTATTAACACTTTAAATGGTATGAATTAGGTCAAGACTTTACAATATATGCCTCTTATTATTTAGCCCTAGTTTAAAGCAGCCGACTTCCCCACTATTTCTTCTCTTGGCTTCATGTGTCATGAAGGTGAAGCAACGTTGTCTTCGATCACATCAAAATTATAATTTAGTGTTCCCATCAGCTAGGGCACAAGGTGAAGAGCTTAGCTGCAATGTCCCTCACTTTAATTGGTCTTATGTTTAGTCAAGCTCTGCAATTTTACACATGCTACCCTACTTCTTTTGACTAATTCAATGGGTTGCTATGAAAACGATCCCTGAAGAGATCAAAAAGATGACATAAGGTGCTTGGGGTTCCCTCTTGATCTTAAGCCATACCGACACCAATTATTTGAGGAGTACATGCATGAAGTATATTCCCTTGGCCTTTATACTTGAAACCTGATGGGACTCTTCTGAAAAGCCCTAAGATGAAGACACGTGTCCTCAGGTTTTTTGGAACAGTGTTGCTCGGATGTAAGCACCATCGGCGCAGAGCGTCCTCTCCCCCGAGGTACCTCTCATAGGATCGTGCATTCGGTGTATTATACAACACGTGTCCTCGGTCACCCGTGTACCTCGGAAACATACCACCCTCGGTCCCCGAGGTGGGCCTTTCCTCGGTGCCGAGAGTCACTCCGTCCTGAACGCTTCCCCTACACCCGGATAAAGCTACTGACGTACGGGACATCAGTCTATGCCAGTCTAGACTATTCATCATGACCTCGTCTTACACAAGTAATGTCAGAACATACTGGAATACAGAGGTCATACCCAATACGTGATAGACGCGTGGCATATGATATCACATTAAAAACAGACAAACCGCATGCTGTTGCTGACACGCGCTTTGGGAAAGCAAATAATTAATTGCACCCTTCTGTTGACGAGACCGCATTCAATGCGGTAAGGTTCGGATATGAAAGGCAATAAATGCTCCTATTACAGAACATTTATTGCATCCTTCCCGAAAGGAGCATATTGTACCGTCGGCATCCCGACGACTCAGCATTGATTGCTCGGGATCCCGAGCAGTCAATTAGAGAAGACATTCCTCATCAAATCAATACACACGCTACCTGTGCCTGATGATCACCTACTAACCACACTGACAGCAATCATGAGCTTTTAAGGTATAAATACTCCTCCCAAAAGGCAAAGCGGGTATGCAAGCACAAACTCTCTACTACAATACAGATTTTCTCAGTGTTTTCTCCTTCCTCTCTCTCACTCAAAGACTGACTAGACCGTCGGAGGGGATACGCCGGAAAACACTCCGGCGCCCTTCTAACTTGTTCCTCTTTGTTCCAGGAAAACTTTTCATATATACAGGATCGTTCTTCCTTTCCCAGGATCTTCTTTTGCCGTTCCAGGTTGCCACCGTACCTTGCAGGCTGTTTCAAGCAGCGTGTTTGGCCACTCAACCGGCTCACTCAAAGTTCACCAGGGGAGAGATCTGTTCCCAATATTTTTTATATTGTGCAGGATCTTGCACGCACAATCTGGCGCCGTCTGTGGGAAACGAGTAGTTTTTCTTCTTTTCTCTCTATAAAGAACAGTGACCATGGTGAACACCGACAAAAGGAAAAGGACCCCACCAAAGGAGTCTGAGTTGCAAGCTCCCTGCCATCACGGAGGGAGGGATCACACCAGTACGATTAAAAGTGCCTCTACTCGGTCAAGGGGGGTAACCCCTCAAACCAGTATGGGGATCAGGTCAGGAGGGTCAGCCCCCTTGGCCCGTCAGCTGGCAGAGGTGATTGAAGAGAAATTTGGCGAGAGATTACGTCAGCTGGAGAAGGACAATGTAAACGTCCTTAGCCGGCTTGACGAGTTTGCCGCCTCAGGCGGAGGGTCGAGGGATTCATTCCTTTCCCGAGGACTCCCCGTCCATGGGGCGGAGACGAAGGATCTAAGAAACCACCTAGATCACAAAGCAGAAAGCTCCAGGGCCCCGAAGCGACCCAGAGCCGGCGAATGCCATCTTGACAACCATTCCAGGAAAGCGAGGCCATTGGCCCTGGACGACCTCCGGCGAGGTTTGTCCAGACGGAGGAAGGGAGATGAATCCGAGGAGGACTCAACCCAATCTACACGACGCCCAGGAAACGAGGGGCTTACCGATGAACCCAGGGACTTCAGGAGGCATCCCGTAAGGGAAGAAGTAGATCTCAGAGCCCGATTAGACTCCAGAAGAAAGGGTAAGACTGTCCAGGACGAGGCCGAGGACGAAGTCATGCAAACACCCTTCACGAGGGAAATCAGTGAGATGGATGTCTCAAGAAAGTTCGTCGTGCCACGGTTCAAAACCTATGATGGGCGATCTAATCCCGAAGCCCATATCAGACAATATAAGCAGATGATGTCCCTCTATCATTCGGACCAACGGTTTCTATGCCGGGTGTTCCCTATGAGCTTGGGGGACTCTGCGATGAGGTGGTTCGAGACGCTTCCCCCAAACAGTATTGGGTCCTGGAAAGAATTGACAAGGCAGTTCCTAACCCGATTCATCACGGGGAGTAAGCGCCCCAAGGACATTGGATCATTGTTGACCCTCAGACGGAGGGAATCCGAGACTCTTCGCCAGTACGCCATCCGATACTGGGAAGAGGTCAATGAGGTCGAGGGATGCTCGGAGGTCATGGCAGCAGCATCTTTCCGGCTCGGCTTGGCGAGGGACACGGACCTGTACCGATCCCTGACCAAGAAGACTCCCTCGGATATGGGGGAACTGATGGCCCGGATCAACAAGTACTCAAGGGTCGAGGACGAGATGGGAAGCAACAAAGGCCGAGCCCTCCAATCCAAGAGAAAGGAGAAAGAGCGCGAAGATATTCCCCGAAAGGGATTGCTACCCCATCCAGGGGGTTCGTCCAGAGGAGTTCACACCGTCTTCAAGGAACCCATCTTCAGGTTGCTCCATAAAATCAAACACGAGCCGTTCTTCAAATGGCCGCCCAGGATGCAGAGCGACCCCTCCACCCGTGATCAAAAAGTTAGGTGTTCATATCACCGGGATGTCGGGCATCGCACCGAGAGCTGCAGGGTGTTCAAGTCATTCTTGGAAAGCTTGGTCCGAGACGGACATTTGAAAGAATACATAGAGCCTAGGCCAGAAGAGAAACGAGCCCTTGCCCCGACCGGGGAACCGGACAACGTCATAGACGTCATCCATGTATGTCCGCTGGAGCGCCCCACGTCCAAAGAGCTCGAATCCGACCTCAAGAGGGTAGCTTTTACAAGAAAGGTAGCCGAGGGAGATGTGGGGCCATCAAGTAAAAGGGCCAGGATGGGTGAGCTTGGCATTACGTTCTCTGACGCGGATTTGACAGGCGTGGTGATTCCTCATAACGACGCCCTTGTCTTGACCCTAAAGATAGGGAAATTCGATGTCAAGAGAATTTTGATAGATTCAGGGAGCTCCTCGGAGGTGATGTACTTCGAGACTTTGAAGCGGATGGGCTTTGGCCCCAAAGACCTAACCAAAATCAGGACACCCCTCATCGGGTTCAACGGCTCTTTCGCCTTGCCCGTGGGGAAAATCACATTACCGGTCGCCACTGGTCCCTTCGTCATCGACACAGAGTTTGTTGTGATCGACACGGACTCCCCTTACAACGTGATTATGGGGCGAACATGGCTGCACGCGTTGGGAGCGGTGCACTCCACTCTCCACCAGAAGTTAAAGTTCGCCACGCCAGAGGGCATCATGGAGATCCGGGGGGACCAAGCGTCTGCAAAGAACTGTTTTTATTCGGCCGTCCGGGCCGGGGCGTC